TTGCGCGGCGAAGTTCGTGGCGAATTTGGACAACTCCGGCGCCTACCATTGGGGCCCAAAACTGAAGTAGGGTAGATTAGTAAGGTCACCTGATCCTACTATTCTACTGTACTTCAAAATTGAGCCCAAATAATAGGCGCTAAAGTCGTCAGAATAGGTATGAATTTCGCAGTTTGCCGCGCGCACCCTCGGACGCATGACTTGACCGTCCCCCAAAAACTTGATTTATAACAGGGAGCGAGGAAATTTATGCAACAGTCTGCAGTGCACATTTGCAGGTTTACCAAACGATCTACTAAGGAAATTTTAATAAGTGTGAAAATTGCCCCCACAACCCCAACAGAAAAATGCTGCTGTTTTGTTAATTCTGATGAATGAGGGTTATTTTTAGTCATATACGCGACCATTTTTTCTAATATCCAAAAATATAGGCGACTTCCCGGCCGTGCGTGGTTGTTGACCCATTGCCAAAAATGCGGCAAATGGCCAAGATCATGTCAGAATATGATTGCTCCTCTTCCTATTCAATGATTTCCACGTATTCGTTATGCTTTCTGTGTCGTTGTACGTTAACTTTCGCCCAAAAGCGTTTATTCTTATACAAGCTGCATTTAAAAGAAATGGTGCGTTTTTTGACTTGAATTGAACTCAGATTTGACCACTACAATAAAAACGGAGTAACTACCACCTAGCACTTCTCCTTCTATAGTTTCCGGGTGTCAGTGGTTTTTACAGTGAAGTATGTAAACCCTCTATCTTCACTTCGTAAATGAGAGGGACACTCACCTCTAACATATACAAATCAAGCGAACTCCACACCCCTAACTGTTGCGATTGCTACAGCTTTCTCACAGAAACTGTTCTCATGATCCTAGAAGGCGGAATGTATGTTCTGACATGATCTTTTCCCATTGCCGCTTTTTTGGCAACAGGCCAAGAGCCGCGCACGCGACACGCGCCGGAGAGTTGCCTAATTTTTGGTTGTGACCATACGAAGCCAAATGAGCGTAAAAAGGAAATAGGAAACGTGTGGACAAAAATAGTCGATGGATCCATCGCCAAACTTTGCTCAGATTTTGCTCCATGGTGCAACCGTTTATGCAGTTGTATGGAAGGCTCCGCCTGAAATTCGAGGGTTTTTCAAGCTAATATTGGTTTGAAAGTTTTCGAGATGTCAGGTAGATGCGTAGTTGATATTAGACACACTACATGCAGCGGTGCATTCATCTCGTAGTACTCAGGAAGAGATATTCGATTGGAGTAGCAAGAGTTTTTGAAGATGGAGATTATGTAGTTGCGAGATTATGAAAGTATGAGTGTAAGTACCAGTAGTATATATTGGTACTCCGCAGAATATGTTGCTCGCTCTAATCAGTCAAAGTAGACTTTCTGCAGTGCTTGGCCGACTTACATGCTCTGTACCCTCGCAGGTGTATAGAACAGAAGTGTGAGAAGGGTCTGCTGGAGCGGTTGGTGGACGCCGGCTCAGCCGAAAGCTGAAACCGCTCAGGAAAGGCAGCTAAAATCTCGGCGCTATAGTTGGCTGTCGAAAAGGAGAAGGACTGAGATGGTGATCTGAGCTTTCGGTGCTTGAACGTCATTGTCGGATGTGATCTGATGACGTAAGCCAGGAATATCAAGAACGAAGTTTTCGTCGATACGAGGTGACATCTGCTGCATGCCTTCTTTGAGAGAGGGAAGGTGCTTCTCGAAACATGCGGCAGCAGAAGCGTAGGTAGTGTAGGCTTCTCAGGACTCACTTTGCCATAAACTTCGATGCTCGCGGCTTAGAAGATTTGGTTCAACCCTAGCTCCAACAGTCTTCACTACCTACTCACCAACATCAAGCAACGAAGGAGAGGAGTTGGAAACGTTTTATCGGGGCCTCGGAAGGCACAGGGAGGACCACACTTTCTTCAAGGGCATAGTCTCTGATTTCACTGCAAGAATTGCCCGCAGAAGGATGGCTAAGTAGATACATAAGGGAGCCACATAACGGAATGGAATAAGTATGGTGAAACTGAATTTATTATGTCGACCCACATCATCCATGGTGGTTCACAGTTGTAGAAACCCTTTCATTCGGACCTAGGAGTCACCTGGTAGACAGTTTCATAATGAAGTAGACCACCCCATCTCCAACCGAAAGTTTTGCCTCACTGATCCCAACGATGCTTTGAAATTCTACATGGGGTAGGACCATCGTATCCTTCACGCTCAACGAGTTGAGCAATACTCGCAAAATTGGAGAGAAAGCACATATACCGGAATCAACTGGGACACTTTGCTTCCTTTGCTAGTTCATCAGAAGGCTCTTTTATCAACAACATCGATTAGGAATATAAGCAGCTCGTCCATCATCTTTAGCATAGGGCAAGGAGAGCGGAGAGTCTGCAAGTTGCCATAGGACATCTCCCTTTAAAAACTATCAACCCGAAAAGGCAAGCGTGGCCCGATTTACAGGCAATCATCAGCTGCCGTTCAAACTCGCGAAGTTATGTAGAGAAGCGATAAAGGGAGACCTTGAAGAGAGAAGAGCAGCCATTCTGACTCAAGCTGTCGAATTCGAAACGAGTATTCGCAAAGCCCCTAGAGCCTCGACAATCACGAGAGCAAACACCTCTTTCAGTAATCCTGGCAAAGCGGAAACTGCAGAGTAACTCGAAATGCAATGTAGAAAGTCATCTGCAACATTTACTGGGATCTCGTTGGTCTACCTACCTACCTTAGACAGGATGACATATTGATGCGCGTGTCGTTTCTTCAGTCCTCCATTCCGAAATTCGACGTGCCATCCTGACAAAAGTTGTTTAGGAATATATGATAGGAATAAACAAGAACAGCAACAGAGCCTCGTGCCATTTATGCAGTCTACCTACCCTGTGATAAACTAGTGTTGATGCAAGAAGATTGGATATTCTCATCCAACCTGGTCTGCACTCTGCAAATTTCCCACATGAGTCATTCTAAACAGGATTAGTAGAAGTTTATGTGAGGTACAGCACTACGAGCAAGCAGGTTTTAGAGCGGGTTCTGTACTATCTATCACATCCGTATTGTCACAAGACTGATTGGAACATCGCAAAACACAGGATGCCTGACGTTAATGGTTTTGAAGAAGGCCTTTGATGTCGCAGAGATAGCAGAAGAAATTGAAGATTTGGGGAACCAGGTTTCACCTACCAAATATATAAGGATGCTTCGTGAGCTTTACGATAACTTCACGACCAGTTATTCTGTAAGAAAATCATTGTCATCGTGAGAGAGGGCTATGGCAAAGTATATTGTTCCGACAGAACTTTTCGGTACCAAACATCTCGAGAATATCATGCGTTATTCGGAATGGGAAGACTTGGGAGTGAAAGTCGACGCATCCCTCCGCTTTGCAGACAACATCGTGCTTATAAAAGCGAACATTGAGCAGGCGGAACGAATGTGATCGAATGTGACCGCGCTTGTAGAACTATTGGCTACAGACAGAACTTAACGAGGACAATGTTCATGAGAAGCGGATTGATACCTGATGATCACGGGTTGATACCTGGCGCTCCTTACACGTTAAACGAAACGAATATCTCCGAGTGCTCTCGGAAAGTCAACATGTTGGTCGCCATAGCTCCAATGCTCTGTAGAAGGGAACCAGGGAACTTTTAAGTAAACGGGGGACCGGTGAAGAAGGCCCCTCTCGACACTGCCGTCCTTCCTGCTTTGACATACAGCTTGTAGTCATGGACACTACGAAATCAGATGAACATGCAGTCAGCGTCATTCAATCAGCTGTGGAAAGAACGATGCTCGAAATTCCCCTATAAACGCAACAGCAGAAGGGAATCCTGTGAGTAAAACAGGAAAGCATTTCCATTAGAAATTTTGAGGGTGTTCAAAGTTATTCATGAGAAATCAAATAAATATGTTTTTACGAAATATACTTTATTGCAATACATCAGCTTTGCTAATTAGTTATCTGGAGCCTCGTGATTGATGAGTTCCAAATAACAGAAGCAGAGAAGCGTTGAGTGCAATATCTCAATGTTTGTTCGCAACGGTCTGATTGATAAAAATACCTCGTCCGATTTGTTACTCGAAAAAAAGGCATTTCATTTTTCCTTTCGACCAATCTTTCAGAGCCGCCATTTTGACAATTATGTGTTGTCGAGTACTGTTGTCGTTTTTTCTGACTTCTACCGAAAAACAATCAGTTTTATTGAAAATAAACAATTAAAAAGAAAGTCATCCCGAAGGTTAGATTAATACGAGAGAAGCGTGTTACTCGTGTACAAACTATTTGGCACCATTACGGCTAGCACACGATATTCGTCAGAGACACTGATCATTTAACAAGCGACATGTAGAAATAAAGCCGGAAGATAATTTAGTCAATAAATCAATACTTATGTACAGTACATGCGTTGCGCAAATAGTTCTCGGAAAACAGAAATGACTAAGGCTTGATCCGATCACAGATACGGTAAGAGCAGCACTTATTGTTGGCATAATATTATAAAATTCATAGTGAAATCATTCACGACATCTGAATTTGAAGCACTTTCTCCTCCACGAGTTTGATGACGTTCTGGTTGGCATCGGC